TGTGTGTGTGAGGGGGTGTCCCACAGCACCCTCTCTCCCTGCTGCTATCGGGTGGTGGGGCTGGGGTTGCTGGTCACCCGTCCTGGGCTGAGCCCTGGCTGCCGCACCGCCCTCGTAAATCAGGAGGCTGAGGGGGTGTCGGAAACGGGCCTGTGGAATGTCTGGATTCGGGGGGTGTGAGCCCTTAGCTCGTAGCAGCACAGGTGGGTGGGGCAGGATCCGTTGCCTGGGTCCCAAGTCTTGGGGCATGGCAGGGAGGAGTGACACCCCCCCCCCCAGCCCAGACAGGGCCATATATTGAGGGTGTGGGGCTCTGCGCTCAGGACCTGCCTGTCACCATGGCTCTGGTAGGAGTCCTGCTCAGCTGTCTGCTGCCCCTGGGGCTGCTCCTGGACCTCAGCTGGGGCCCTGCTGCTCTGGGGTCCCCAGTGGCGGGGTCTGGAGAGATCTCGGCTGAGCACACAGTGGAGGCTGGAGGGACTCAGAGGCCATGGCTGGGTAAGGACCCCAACTCCCCCGTGTGATCCCCAACTCCTGCCTGTCCAGGCCCTGTCCATTGTCAGCTGCCTCCTCTCCCCTGCAGGTAGCCGCCACCCTCTTGCCCGCCTGCGCCGAGCCCTGGCCAGCCCATGCCAGCTGTGGAGCCTGACCCTGCCAGTGGCCGAACTGGGCCTGGGCTACACCTCCGAGGAGAGGGTCATCTTCCGCTACTGCGCCGGCAGCTGCCCTCGCGGTGCTCACACCCAGCATGGCCTGACACTGGCCCGGCTGCGGGGCCAGGGCCGTGCCTATGGCGGGCCCTGCTGCAGGCCCACCCGCTACGCCGACGTGACCTTCCTCGATGACCGCCACCACTGGCAGCGGCTGGTCCAGCTCTCGGCAGCCGCCTGTAGCTGCAGTGAATAAAACTTCGCACGCTCACTTATTTATTGGAGACTCGGGTGCAGGGAAGAGAAGGGGATGTGGGCTGGGGCTCCAGCAGTTGCCACAATAAAGGAAATGTTCTTTTGCCTGGGGACTGTGTGTTCAGCTGGGCTTGAGACTTGCCACTTCGACTCCCAGTGAGTGGGCAGAGGCTGGGCTTCCCCTGCAGACTCCAGCCCCACAGACAAGGTCGGGTGGTACTTCTCCAGTTTTATTCACAGACCGTGTCCGTGTCAGGTCGGGGGGGGGAAAGTCTGCGGTCAGCAGGCTGCAGGGGGCTGTCCGGGCTCCCCTAACCCCACCTCCTCAGCGGGGGAGCGGCAGATCACAGAGATGCGTCGGCCTCGGGGAATCCGGCGCTCCCCAAAAAAGGAGTCTTCATCTCGAAGGATTTCATGGGAGAAGTCATAGCGGGCCGAGCCCCTGCAAGAGAAAACAGAGGCTGGGACTAGGGATGGGGAAGTGCCTGTACAGTCCCAGGTCCCAGGCCCAGTAGCAAGCTCACAGCACCTGCCCAGTCTGCAGAATGGGCGTAATGGTGGCTGCTGCCAGGACTCTGTGGGTGTCAGACAAGTGCCCTGTTCGGGGTCTGGGGATCCTTGGCTGGCAGTACCTAAGGATGTAGAGGGAACCTGGCTCCAGCAAGAGTTCCAGCCACTCTGCAGGCTCCTGGGTGTGCACCAGTCGCATGACACTAGGGGACAGCAGGGACAGGCCAGCAATGGTGGCTCCGCAGAACTGCAAGGGGGAATAGTGGGATGAGGCCACGGGCCCACACTACACCCCTGCTACAGGGAGCGCCCAGGCTGCAGTTAGCCCACCTTGACGCTGTCCACATGGGGCTTGATGTAGCCCCGCGGCTCCAGGTCCAGCACGTGCACTAGGGGAAGCAAGGCCTGCCCGGGCCCAAAGGCAGCCTCCCGCACGCGCTGCAGGATGGCCTGGCTCGCCTCCGACCAGCGTGACTTCTCAGTCTCCCGGAAGCCGTGGATGGCCTGCCCAAAGAGTGCAAGTCACGCCTGAAGGCTCCCAGGGAAAACAGGGAAACTGAGGCAAGGAGGGGCAGAGTGCAGTACAGGGGCTGGTTGTCATGGAGTTTCCAGAATGATCCAGGCCCCCTTGCCAGACCGCAAGTCCCTCCCTCATGCCCCATCCAGGCCCCACCAGGCCTGGCCTCAGTTCTTCCACCCACCTGCAGGCTTCAATTTAGTTCCAGATCCCGCTTCAGTTTCAATGTCTCAGTCTCCACCCCAACTTGATCCCACCCAAGTCCCCTGTCCCCGCCTCCTACTACTGACCTTCCCTCATCTCACTCCTCACCCCAGATTCCACCCCAAATCGGGCCACATCTGGTCCCAGACTGCTGCCCCAACCCCAGCACAGTCCAAAGTTCCAGGACCCTCCGCCGCCGAGGACCCGCCCCAGTTCCACACACTGTCCTGTCACAACGCATCCTTGTTCCGGGCACCGCCTCCAACGTGCCAGGTTCCGCCCCAGCTCCAAAATCCAGGTCCTGACGCCAGCTTATTCCAGTTCCAGGTCTCGCTCCCCGCCGTGCCACCCCCTTCCGTCAGTGAACCAAGGCTCGCCCCCAGTGCAGCTCTGCTTTCAACGTTCCAGGCCCCAACCTGTTCCGCTGTGACTCCGTCCCAACTCCATGCACCTAGATCCTGTGTACTTAACACTCGTTCTAGAGCTTGCCCCCAGTCATGACCCCGCCCATAAGGCTCCAAGCCCCGCCCCTGGCCCAAACCGTTACGTCACTAGCTCTGCCCCGGCTCCGGTCCCTCACCGCGTCCCAGTGATCGTATTCGTAGCGGCGGCGGCGCAGGTCCGGCTCCAGCTCGCGACGCAGCGTCTCCTCCTCGGCCACGCTCAGAAAGCCAGGCTTCACCACGGCCGCGTCCCGCAGGCGGCTCAGCACAGCCGGGCTTGAGCCCCGCACCCAGCTGTGGCCCGGCAACGTCCGCAGCGCTAGCCGCCCGCTCCAGGCCATGG